CAGGCTGACAGAAAGCCACAGCTCGATTGAGCCTTCTATTCCCATAGCACTCAGTAGTAATGATTTTATGTGCTTTTTTAACGATAAGATTGTTACTCTTAGAAACAAAATTAATGACCTCTTGCCTTTGACCAGTATAGTGTTATCAACAGCTCCCGGAAACGTAAGTTCTAATATTACACTAGATCAGTGGTCGCCAACCTGTCGATCGCGATCGACCGATCGATCGCGAGTGTGGTGCGGTAGATCGCGGACCATTAAATGATTCCTATACCGGATCTCCTCTCTGGTAAACAAAAACACCCTGAAAACTCATTCAAGGGTACTATGACTATGCTTGCACGTCATGGTACCATAGCACCTCCAAGGCGCTAAAAATAAAACTTCAAACATCGCAAAATAAACTGGTCAGACTACTGCTTGACCTTTCATCTAGAACCCACCTCACCTCTGCCCACTTTGACAACCTAGGATGGCTTAGAGTAGACGACAGAGTACAGCTACTTGCAATGGGCCTGGTCTACAAGATCCACTACACCTCTATGGTACCCATGTACATGTCAATATTCTTCCCAAAGGTCAAGGAATACCATGATCATAACACCAGAGGGAGCTCCACAAATCATGTGAAACCCAGATTTGGCACAAAAAAGGGGGAATACACGTTTCGCAATTATGCCACATTAAGGTGGAACGCTCTTCCCACAACTGTAAAGGAAAGTAAAACTATACTTACCTTCAAAACCTCTCTTAAAGAGCAACTTCGGGGGAGTGCATTGCAAAACTGGCCCCGGTAATGGTACAAATCTCAACCTGTCGTTCAATGGACAGCTTCCCCCCCCCATCTATGTATATACTCGCATTTTAGACTCTGTTACTAACTGTACATCTGTAGACTTGGTATGTCTTAAATGTCCGGTTAGGATGTATTAGAACAAAATCTAAAATGAAAATTGTAAATAAGCAATCTGTATGTAAAAAACCACCTGTATGTAAATTGTAAATAAGCCATCTGTATGTCAAATATGTCTTATATGTCTTAAATGATATGATGAATTGGAAATGGGGGACCCTGATGTAAACAAGACGAAAGTCTTTCTCTGGTCTGCATCCCCTTAACAATTGTATGTTTTGAGCTGTACTGCACTGTACCCAATATACAAGCTGTTAATAAACTTTTCAATCAATCAATCAATCAAAAAAAAAAGTAACAATAGAAAGAAAAATTAAATTAAAATAATAATGTTTGAAAAATACGTTTTTATATGTAAACCTATCATCCACCACCCCGTTAGCAGGTGCCACTTGATTGACATATATTTGAGACACCTCAATAATATAATACATTAACCGTGCTTTACGTGAACCTCATCATGACACAAGAGAGGACGGCAGGAGTGCAATTTCCCGTGTTCAGTGAATGCAACAGAGGCAAGTCACCAGACCAATCAGAGAGTTGCATGGAAATACACGTGTGCTTGTGTCATTCAAGCTCGGCTCTGTGTGTGTGTGTGTGTGGCAATAGCGCATTTAGTGTGAGAGAGAGAGAGAGAGAGAGAGAGAGAGAGAGAGAGAGAGATTTTTTAAAAACTTTTATTAAGAATTTCAACAATCAAACTAAATGATTCGCTTATTCACATTGAGAGAGAAAAATTCCCTTTTTTTCTTTCCTTACACAAAGACAGAGTTAAAAGTGAGCTCCTCCCCCACCACAGAGCACACAGCTGTAGTGAAACACCACCGGGTTAAAAACTCTTCCATGCTTCTCATCAGACAGTGAAATCTAAAATCTACGCTCACTCGTGTCTTTACCAAAGATAAAAACATGTTAGTGAGTTGCTGACCGGCTGTACTGTTTATTTTGTTTTTCCTGCTTTTGTAGATCGATATTTTTGCCTGCCCCACAATAAAATTCAACAGTTCCCACTTCCCTGCATTCTGCTTCTTGTAGCCAGCACCACAAATAAAAGCAGTCTCTGTAAAAACCTCCCCACAGTCTAAAAACACAGTTTTTAAAACATTAAAAAGAGGCTTCAGCCTGTGGCAGTCCAGGTAGCAGTGAGTGATCGTCTCTCTGTGAGTGCAGAACGGACACTCGGAGGACACGGTGGGGTTTATCTTCGACACAAAGGCGTTAACGCCCAGGGCCCCGTGGAGGATCCTCCACTGCAGGTCTCCTGACCGCTTGTTCAGTGGAGGTTTGTAGAATAGCCTCCATACTGGTTCACAGGCCCCCGGGACGTTAAGCCTCTGTTTCCACACCGTGTCTCTCCTCTCGCTTAGCTTCTGTTTGTTCAGGGCCAGAGTGCAGAGTCTATAAAAACCTTTCCCATTAAGCATTTGGAAGTCTGCATGAAGTCCACCCTGGTCTGCTAAAAACCCAATGTCCGGAAAAGGGTCCCCTTCGTCAGGGGTTTCCTTCCTGTTGGAATACTCCCGCAGCATCTCCATCTCATCATCAGATAGTCTTTTAATCCACTCGTTCAGGATGGTTCTGGTGTGGCGGGCCGACTTCAGGCCGAGCAGAGAGGCCACGGCCTCGGTGTTGTGGAGTCCAGGACCTGCAGCATCCACGATGTTCCTCAGCCTCACGACCCCAATGGACTGAAGCCTCTCAGTGAGTGCAGGTCTGCTGCCGTCCTGGACGTCCAGCCGGGCCCCCCCACACCAGAGGCTCTTCCAGGAGCCAGAACAGAGATGCTGCGGGACCCACTCTGGCCCATTTAAAAAGTGTCCATACTTTAAAAAGTCCTTTGTAAAACGCAGGCAAAACACACACACGAGTAAAATCACAATTTGTTAAAAATAATGACGCATCCAAACCCAGGCCTGCTACCCCCCTTAAAATGGTGCTGGCTACCGGCCCCCAGACGACATCATCGCTTCCTGTCAGGTATCTTTGTAAAAACTGTAGTTTAAAAGCAGCTGCTCGACTCTCCAGGTGCACCAACCCTTGCCCCCCTTCTTCCTTTGGCAGGTACAGCGTGCACTGAGGAACCCAGTGCAACTTATCCCAAAAGAAATTTAAAATAATGCCTTGCAGCTTTTTTAAAAGACCAGCAGGGGGCTCCACACACTTTAGCTTATGCCAGAGGCTGGATGCTATCAGGTTGTTGATGACCAGCACCCTGCCTCTGTAGGACATGTGTGGAAGCAACCAGCGCCACTTGTTGAGTTTCCCCTCCACCTTTTCTACAACTCCTTCCCAGTTCTTTTCCAGTGTGACCTCATCTCCAAGATGGACTCCCAGATATTTTAGACCACCCCTCTTCTATGTCAACCCACCTGGGAGTTGAGGGAGGCCACCAGTCCACTCCCCCACTGCTAGGGCCTCACTCTTAGCCCAGTTGACCTTTGCAGAGGAGATCTTTTGGAAAGTGTCCACTACCTGCCCTAGCTTTAAAACATCCTGTTGATTTTTTATAAAAACAATGATGTCGTCTGCATAGGCCGATAAAATAAAACGTGTATTAAAACCAGGTAAAACCAGGCCCTCGTTAAAAGAGCGGATATTGTGTAGCATGGGTTCTATTGCCAGTGTGTACAACATGCCTGACATCGAGCAGCCTTGTCTGATCCCCCTGGTCACATTAAAGGGTCTAGACAGACCGCCATTTATCTTAAGCACACTCTCAATGTTCACATACATCACCTTTATCTTGGCGATAAAGCCCGGGCTGAGGCCGAACCTCTCCAGCACCTTCCACAGGTAACGGTGCTCAACCCGGTCAAAAGCCTTTTCCTGGTCCAATGAAACCAGACCAGTGTCGAAACCCAAAGAACCAGAGACTTCCAAAATATCTCGAATTAGTGACACATTGTCAACAATTGACCTGCCGGGCACACAGTAGGTCTGGGTCCGGTCTACCACCTGGTCCATCACCTTCCTCAGCCTGGAGGACAGGGCCTTAGACAACAGCTTGTAGTCGGTGCACAGCAGAGAGACGGGCCTCCAGTTCTTTATTTCCTGTAAGTCGCCTTTTTTCGGAAGGAGTGTTAAAACGGCTCTTCTGCAGCTCAGAGGGAGGAAAGAGTCATTAAAACTTTCATTAAAAAGGTCCATTAGATCCTCTTTTAAAAAGTCCCAAAATGTCTTGTAGAACTCTGGGGGGAGGCCATCTATTCCAGGGGCCCCCCCTGCATGCTCTTGAGTGCTGCACACAGTTCCTCCTCAGTCAGGGACCCGTCCAGCTCTTTTTTCGTCTCTTCAGAGACTGTTGGTAGGCCCCTGCAGAACAGATTAAACCCTCCATCATTTTCAGTGTACTCACTGGTGAAGAGGTCGCAGTAAAAATCCACCGCTCTCTGCCGGATCTGGCTGTTCTCTGTCAGCTGCTGTCCTCCTGCTGACCTCAGAGCGTGGATCAGCCTGCCCTGCCCGTTCTTCTTCTCCAGACTGAAGAAGTACTTTGTGGGTGAATCCATCATGGAAGCGCTCTGGAATCGGGACCGGACCAGCGCCCCCTGTGCTCTAGAACCCAGCAGGTCTGCCAAAATGGCTTTTTTAGATTTGAGGTCTTCAATACAACCTGGATTTCCTGTGGACTCTGCAAAGCTCTGCAGTTCCACTATTTCCGTCTCCAGATCTCTCATAGACTTGGTGATATCACGAGAAACATTGAGAGTGTACTGAAGACAAAGCTGCTTAATGTCGGCTTTCCCACAATCCCACCACTGCTTCAAAGAGTTAAAATCCCCCTTCCTTTCTCTAAAACCTTTCCAAAAATAAATAAAAACCTCTCTAAAATGTGTATCTAAAAGCAGAGCAGTGTTAAAATGCCAATATGCAGATTTGCTTTTTATGTTGGCAATAAAAACATCGCACAACACAATTGAGTGGTCAGAGAAACCAACAGGCAATATAGCACACTTTTTAAAAACATTCAAATGGTGCTTAAAACAATAAAACCTGTCCAGCCTAGCCATTGATAAAAGGTTCTCCCTCGTGTGGACCCATGTGTACTGTCTGTGATGTGTGTGATGCTCTCTCCAGATGTCTAATAGACTATGTGTTGCTATTAACTGTGTCATGGCTCTTTTGGATGCGGCATGAGGTTCCCTATGGTTCCTATCTAGCTCGTCATCCTGTGTGCAGTTAAAATCTCCCCCTAAAAATAAAAACTCTTCTGGTTCACACTCACTTAAAACAGCGCTGAGCTCGTTTAAAAACTGAACTCTTGCAGGACCTGAATTAGGAGCGTATACGTTGATAAAAACCAGATTAAAAAGCTCATACTTGGCTCTCACCACCAGCAGTCTGCCCTTTATTCTTTCTTCCACTTTGTGGGACTTGGGGATAAAACCTTTAGCAAACAGCACTGCCACTCCTGCACTGGTGCTGCTAAGAGCACTTAAAACCACCTCCCCATCCCACTCCCTCCTCCAGTCCGTCCCGTTTAAAGTGTCGCTGTGCGTTTCCTGTAGCATTGCTACATTTACTTTTTTTAATTTGAAAAGCTCATAAATGCAAGCCCTCTTCCCCACATCCCTAGCTCCATTGACATTTAAAGTGCACACTTTAAAATCACTCATTAAAAAGGATGTGAGGAGAGACACACCACTTAAGAACAACAAGTATGTTAAAACCAGCATCCTAACTGCCGTGCATGACCTTTTCTTCTTCATTTAAAATCTCTCGCTGTAACTTCCCTTTCAGGACCTTCAAGCGATAAGACTCCTGCTCAGTAAAAAGATGCATCTGAGCTTTCACTGACTGTAAAAACAAGCTTTTGTCAGTAAAAAACTCTTCTATTTTTACTCCTCTTTTGTTTTTTGTTTCTTTAAGAAAAGCTTTGATTTGCTGCACTTTAAAAAACGGACTTTTAATTTGTGAGACGGTGAGAGGCTGGCTGTCCTCAGCAGAGTCCCCTTCCTCCTCATCTTCATCTTCTTCATCCTCCTCCATCAATTCTTCCTCACTTTCTTCCTCCTCTGCCTCCTTCACCTCCTCCACCATTTCCTCCTCTCTCTCTCCCTCCTCACTCACTGCCACCCTCTTGGCCTGAGAGACTTTCTCTTTTTGTTTTCTTTTATTTGTACAAGCTTGAGCTTCAATGTTCTCTTCGCTTGCAGCGGATGCAGAGAGTTCCACCGTCTCCACTGCTTCTTTCAGGACAACCTTTTTCCCCACATCAACCAAAAGGTCACTTTTTTCATTCTTTTTCTCATTACTCTTTTTTTCCCCAGAGTTTTCCTTTTCCTGCTCAGGGAGCTCTGAACCCTCAGCCTTCGTTGGGGGCTTTGGGGGACCCTCAACCTTTGTTGGGGGCTTTGGGGGACCCTCAGCCTTCTTTGGAGGCTTTGGGGGACCCTCAACCTTTGTTGGGGGCTTTGGGGGACCCTCAGCCTTCTTTGGAGTCTTTGAGGGACCCTCAATCTTCGTTGGGGACTTTGGGGGACTCTCAGCTTGCTTTGAGGGACTCTCATCTTGCTTTGAGGGACTCTCACCCTGCCTCGGGGGCCCCAGTGGGGTTTCCTGCTGCTGCTGTTTCAGCAGGAGTCTCTTTTGGATTTGTTTTCTGTTTTTTTCCTCCTCCTCCTGTTTTCTATTTTTTTCCTGTTTTCTATTTTTTTCCTCCTCCTCCTGTTTTCTATTTTTTTCCTCCTCCGCCTGCTTTTTATTTTTTTCCGGACATGCTCTGGCCAGGTGCCCCTCCTCCCCGCATTCGAAGCACTTGACAGGCCCCGAGTTTACAAACATTACATAATTAAAATCATCCAACTTTAAACTTAACACCAGATTAAGTTCCTCGTCTCTCTTATTGAGGATCATGAGGACACTTCTCCTGTGAGACACAACGTGCTTTAGTAGTGGAGATCTGCAGCCCCAGGACAGCTTCCTAATGGAGGACACTATCTTGCCGTATTTAGACAGCTCTCTCACCAGGAAGTCATCCCGTATGAACGGCGGGATATTCGAAATCATAACCCTTGTAGCAGGGGTGGTTAGTGGAGACACGGAAATGAAAGTTTCATTCACAACGATCCCGGTCTCCACCACTTTGTTCGCTTTCCCTTCCGTGTCCACAAATATCACCACCCCGCCGTTCATCCGAGCCGCAGATCTGATGCTGCCGTGCCCCACTAATGCCCCCACAGCCAGGCTGCACTCCTCCACCGAACACGGTGTCATCGGAGAAATTTTAAAACCATGTTTGCGACTCAGCCTGGCATAATCCATGCCGCAACTGCGTCACACACACAGACACACACACCACACACACCCAAACCACGAGAAAACACCAACAATCAAACGTTTAAACCATATACACAATACACACAACTTACAACATTAAACAATAAATATGTTAGTAGAAAAACGTGTGAAAAAGTTAGTAACTCACTCACACCACGCTCCTCCGACCGTTCCTCACACACTCACTCAGAGAGAGAGAGAGAGAGAGAGAGAGAGAGAGAGAGAGAGAGGAGAGAGAGAGAGTATCAGAGAGAGAGAGAGAGAGAGAGAGAGAGAGAGAGAGAGAGAGAGAGAGGAGAGAGAGAGAGAGAGACCGGCCGGTGCTAGCGGGGACCGTGATGTTAGCATCTGGTTAGCTAGCTGCACTAACGGACATAAGGAGCTGTTTCCACAACAGGCTGGAGGAGAGTCCTCCCCTGTCAGACTGAGGGGCTCAGGTGAGCTAAAGGACTCTCTGAGTGTTTAGAACGGTTTTGTCACAAATTATTCAAAAGATTATTTCCGAGGCACACCTTCATATGATCATTATAGTTATACAAACAATAAGAGAATCAATGAAAAACAGGTATGAAATACTATATGCAGGGGTGCACATAACTTTTTTGCCCTGGTTCTCCAAGGAGCACCTGGAGATGTTGCTTGGTGCTCATCCTTAAAATGAAATAAATAAACCGGTCTTTATTTGTCAGACACACGGCACAGAACACACAGAGGTGAACACAGAACACACATGCAGAGGCGAACACAAGACAACATTAGCACGACCAGTAATCCTACAAGCTGTCATCACTACCCTCCTGACTATCCTCCTCACTGTCTTCCTCTCTGTCAGACATGGTAGCTGATGATGTAGGCCTCCTACTTTCTCTCTGGTTGAGTCTGCGATTAGCTGCTTGCACCCACAAGTCAACAGCATGGTTTTGGGTTGAAAGTCCAGTTTTAAAAGGATATGTTGGGTTACTGTCCTATAGTAGGCCTATACATTGGAATGATTTAAAACCTGTTTATCCCAATAATTATAAAGGAGTGCCTTGAAAATATGTGTTTACATACATTGTGACCAAACCGTTTGAACTTAGACTAAAGTGAACTATCTAAACACTCAGAGTCCTTTACCTCACTGAGCTGTAGTTATCAGTCTCTCGGTCTGACTGGAGAGGACTCTCCCTCCACATCATTGTAGAAACATCTTCTTCTTATATCCGCAGCTAGCTCCAGATTCTAATAACAACAGCGCCGGTACCGGTGCACCCTCCCTCTCTCCCTCGCTCACTCGCATTTTGGCTGTGAGCTGCGGGCGCCAGACAAGCCAACATCCCCCATTTTCATCACTTACAGCGCCCATCGTACAGGGCAAATGAAACGTGTAACCGGGGTGAAAAGGGTGTTACATTTACTTAATTATGAATGTTGTTACATCAAGGCCGAAAATTAGGATGAGCACCAACAGTCAAAAATATTTTGTTCCCTCCCAGAACTACCAGCGCAGCGCCTCCACAGATCTGGCGCCCTAGGCGAAAATCAATGCCAGTGCGACGGGCCGGCCCTGAGTTCATATGCAACTCGCAAATATCTTTCTCTCTCTCTTCTCTCTCCTCTCTTCTCTCTTTTCTCTTCTCCCTTCTCTCTCCCTCTCTCTCAATGTTGGTACGCAAATGCGCCTTTTTTCAAATGACCCGGTGCTCTTTTTTTGGCCGAGGTGCGCATGCGCACCTGCGCACCAGTTATGTGCAGCCCTGACTATATGGCAGTAAAACAAGAATACAGTTTAAAAGGGGAGTCATTTGTAAAATATCCATAAAGAAAAAGAAAATCTGTTTACAGTTGTGTTTCACATGGGTGTTGAGAGATATATCCATAGATCTCTTCATTTTGCTCTCAAAGTGCACCAGATTGATGCTTTCAACTTCAATATTTAAAAAAAAATCGTCCCGGGGGAGCATCCCCCCGGACCCCCCTAGAGAAGGTGAGGACCTAGTGGAGGTGAGGACCTAGAGGAGGTGAGGACCCCCCTAGAGGAGGTGAGGTCCGCCCCACACTCATAAAAAATAGCACTTTACCCCTGCCTATAAGCCTATTGAGCTGATTATGGAGCCTTCATTGTAACAGTAATTCAGATGCAAATTAGCCTATATAAAAGGCCTCAAATTGGAAGCACTGTCTGGGCCGTCTTTTTCACTCAATTCTGCAATAGGTAGATCTCGCCTTTCACCGAGGCCGAGGTCGGTGATCTTGGGCTTAAAAAGGTTGGTGACCACTGCACTAGATAGTAAACTAGAATGCTTTTCAGCCATTAACTTTGAACAATTAAATACAATGATTCTCTCCTCTAAACCATCAACGTGCATGTTAGACCCAATTCCAACTAAGCTGTTGAAGGAAGTTTTTCCATTAATTAGCACTTCTTTATTAAATATTATGAATATGTCTTTATTATCAGGCTATGTTCCACAATCATTCAAAGTAGCAGTGATAAAACCGCTTCTTAAAAAGCACAACCTCGATCCAGAGGTTTTAGCCAATTATAGACCTATTTCTAATCTTCCGTTCCTCTCAAAAATTCTCGAGAAAGCGGTCGCAAAACAGCTGTGTGATTACTTAAAAAACAATGATTTATTTGAAGATTTTCAGTCTGGCTTTAGAACACATCATAGCACAGAGACAGTTCTGGTTAAAATCACAAATGACATTCTAATAGACTCAGACAAGGGACTTGTCTCTTTTCTTGTCTTGCTCGATCTCAGTGCTGCATTTGATACTATCGACCATGATATCCTATTGGAAAGACTAGAGCACTTAGTTGGCATACAGGGAACTGCTTTAGGCTGGTTTAGGTCCTATCTATCTGAACGCTCAGTTTGTACGTGTTAACGATGAATCTTCCACGCAAACCAAAGTTAGCCATGGAGTGCCACAGGGCTCAGTGCCCGGACCTATTTTGTTCACATTATATATGCTTCCGTTAGGCAATATTATAAGGAATCATTCTGTAAACTTTCATTGTTATGCGGATGATACTCAACTATATTTATCAATCAAGCCTGATGAAATTAATCATCTAAATAAAATTCAAGACTGCCTTAAGGACTTAAAAACGTGGATGACCTTAAATGTTTTGATGTTAAACACGACCATAACTGAAGTTATTGTACTTGGCCCGAAGAATCTACGAAACAAATTATCTAAAGATATACTAACTATGGATGGCATTAATTTGGCCTCCAGTGAGACTGTAAGGAATCTTGGTGTTATATTTGATCAGAATTTATCCTTTAACGCCCACATAAAATCAATTTCAAGGACCGCCTACTTCCATCTACGTAACATTGCAAAAATCAGGCATATCTTGACTCAAAATGATGCAGAGAAACTAGTCCATGCATTTGTTACTTCAAGGCTGGATTATTGTAACTCCTTATTATCAGGGTGTACCAAGAAGTCAGTCAAGTTGCTTCAGCTGATTCAAAATGCTGCAGCTCGTGTACTAACCAGAGTTAGGAAAAGGGACCACATTACTCCTGTTCTGGCTGCCTTACACTGGCTCCCTATAGAACACAGGATAGAATTAAAAATTCTTCTTCTCGCCTACAAAGCCCTTAATGGGCAGGCGCCATCTTACCTTAAAGAACTCATTATACCCTACTATCCTATTAGGGCATTGCGTTCCAAGAATGCAGGGTTGTTGGTTGTTCCTAGAGTCTCTAAAACAGGGGTGGTGATCCTTTTTCCTCTCAAGGGCCATTTCAATGTTTACAATATCCTCAGAGGGCCGTACAAATTATTGACCTCTGCTTAAAAAAACTAAAATCACAGCTCATTAATTTCATTCTGTGCAAAGAAAAAGCAACCTCTTAATCCAGATAACTCACCATGACTCGCGTATGCATGCACGTGCACGGTGTGGCATGACCACCAAAACAGAAAGATATGGACACAAGATGTGTGCAAATGTATTTCGTTTCCTATCCATGTGAACATGATTTAAGTGGGGGGGGACCTAACCTCTCCTAGGGGGGTCCGGGGGGCATGCTCCCCCAGGAAGATTTTTTTTTAAATGTTGAAGTTAAAAGCATCAATCTGGTGCACTTTGAGAGCAAAATTAGGAGATCTATGGATACATCTCTCAACACCCATTTGAAACAGAACTGGAAGCAGATGTATTTTTCTTTATGAATATTTGACAAATCACTCTCCTTTCAAACTGTATTCTTCTTTATTAATAACAACTTTTGTTTACTGTCATATAGTATTTTATACCTGTTTACTTTATTCTCTTATTTTTTTATAACTATAATGATCATATAAAGATGTGCCTTTACCTCACTGGTTGTAGAAAAAGCTTCTTATATTCGTTAGCATAGCTAGCTAACCAGATGCTAATAACAACAAAGACTGTATGATCAGTATGACAGATGAACAGATCACCACTGGGCTTTCAACTAAAGACACAGACACGCAGAAACTGCGGTATGTGTACGCAGGTCCGCCCCTCCCTACAGGCCAATCACGCAGGCTGCATGGGGCCCCGCCTTGTGCAGGGGGCCCCGCCCAGAGGGCCTCAGCTGCTGTGCGCAGTTCTCTGCTCAGTTCTCCGCGCACCCCCCGCGAGAGTGAGAGGTGAGAAGGAGAGCACGTCTGTAACCCGACACCGTTGCAATGAATCGACATCTGACCAATCACGGCTTTGATACGGCCACTAGTGCAGGTGAAGAGATGTCGGTGAAAAGACAGTTTCAGTCCGGCGCAAGCAAGAGGGGAAAAAACCAAAACATGAAGAAACTAGAGCATCACTCGAAGGTGGGTTATTGTATGAGTCAAATGTACAACTTGCGAATGTTGTATAAGTCAAATTGCCATATTAAAACATCAGCTGCAATTCACGACATGAAGAAGGCAGTCTCTGCAGAGCAAAGGCTAATGGAGATGCAGTTGTTTTCAGCATTCTTTATTTAACATTCATTCAAGTATGTTATGCCTTTTATCTGCTAATGTACAGGAGGAAGTGTGATACCCTGTCTGTCTACTTGGCTTACATAACAGTTAAAGTTTACAGCCTAAAAAAACATGGAGAATTTGTTCCCCTTTTATTCATTTTTATGTCAATTTGCACATTTCATGGTGATGCTCAGCCTCTCCCCTTAACTCTTAACAGTCATCATCATGGTGACGCTCAGCCTCTCCC